AAAACTGAACTCGAACTTACACTGTTTTCGGTCCTTTTCAGAAAAATATCCATTTTCGTTCGTGTTCACAGTACTAATACAACACATTTTCACTAATATTTAAATATATAAATTAGAAATTCGTGAAAAGAGCCCTACTTTTAAGCCAAAACGGACTCTGATGTTGCTACCACCAAACCAAAATCAAAAGTAAACGCAGAGGACCGAAAAATGTGACCTTTTATCAGGTAGCTCACGTGACAGTGACGTCATCGTACGTCACGATGAGATTGCAAAAATTATTTTTCATATTTTAGATCAGAAATTGTACATTTTCGGGGTTAATTTAACAATGTTTAAACAAACTAATTTGTTTTTGCTAACCTCGTGTTCTTAGGAAAATGGTTTTCGGTTTAATTATCATATATTAATAGTTATCATATTTAAACATTATGAATTATATTAATTATGTTTAAATTTTATTTAATTATACCGCGAAAATGTATAGCTTTGACCCACCAACTTCAATCGTTTCGAAAATTTTTCCAAAACTTAAACATTGTCGAATAAACGAATCACGGAATCCGATAAATTAAAACTGAAGTCGTACTTACCTCGTTTTCGGTCCTTTTCGGAAAAATATCCATTTTCGTTCGCGTTCACAGCACTAACACAACATATTTTCAGTAATATTTATTAATAATAAAGTAGAAATTCGCTAAAACGCTCCACTTTTACGCCAAAATGAAGCGACGATCTTGCCGCCATCAAACAGAAATTAATACTAAACACAAAGAACCGCGAAACGTGACCTTCGGACAGGTAGCTCAGGTGACAGTGACGTCATCGTACGTCACGATGAGATTGCAAAAATTATTTTTCATATTTTGGCCGGGAAAACGCACATTTTCGGGGATAATTTAATAATGTTTAAACAAATTGATTTGTTTTTAATAATTTCGGGCTTTTAGGACAACGATTTTCGGTTTAATTATCATATATATTTATGCTTATCATATTTAAACATTATAAGTGATATTAATTATGTTTAAAATTTATTAATTTATATCATGCAAATGTATAGCTTTGATCAACCGACTTCAATCGTTGCGAAAATTTTCCCAAAATTTAAACATTGTCGAGTGAAGGAATCACGGAATCCGATAAATTAAAACTGAAGTCGTAAGATAATTAGCTTTTATTTATGCATAAATTGTGCAGTGCGTTCTTTCTAACACTGACCATAGAGATTCCCAACTCAAGGTGTCTACCCCATATTAACTGATATTTTGGTGACTCGATTTTTGCCTTGATGGTTGAACACTGTTACTGTTTTCCGTTTTTGTTGTATCGAGATACTACTTGAGCATCAACTGTTACCTACTGAAGTATTAGCATCATCTAGAAAAACTAGAAATATTTTGATTTGATATTCGAGTAGATACTTCGTATTTCGAGTATGAGCATCTACTGAGTTTTATTTATATCAACCATTGTCAAAAATTTGATCGAACGTTGTTTGGACAGAACTTCCTTCGCACCAAAAGTATAATGAAACATATTTAGCATTTTCGAGTTGAGTCTTTTCTTCACACAATTTTGTGATGACCTAATCAACATTTACGATCAACACGTATACCATCTTGGATTGGTGCAGTGTAATACTAAAAATAACTGTATTGTATTCCCAAAATTATCTGCGAAAATCGAGTGGGCCGTTCCATCAATTTTTTGGGGGGAATAAGTAAATATTCTTAACAATTTACCATGCTTATAATAACTTTAAAACGTCTGCAAGATCTCAAACAAGTAATTTCTTCAACTCTTGAGTTATTCTCTAAAATAAATTGACTGATCCACACATTTTTTGGAGTCACTGTAAAAACAAATCTAAAAAATATGAATGCAATGATAAATTACGAAAATATATTGATGATATTTGGCACATTTTAGATAGAATTTATTCGGCAAAATCTTGAGATGACGTCATCAAGTTTTTGGGCTTGATTAACAGATATATTTTGATTAAAAACCTACCATGTCAAGCAGAAACTTCAAAACTATATATTTCAAAATTCAGTTTTGCAATTCTTGATTCAATCAATAAAATAAATTGACTCAGTGATTAATTTTTTTGAGACAGCTCCTCTAAGCAAAACTAAAAAATATGAGTGGAATGATAAATCACAAGTATAGTCTCATCCTATTTTGGACATTTTAGATAGGATTCATTTGGCAAAATTTTCGGCTGACGTCATCAATTTTTTGGAGGGAATAAGTAAATATATATTATATAAAACATTGAATAAAAATCTAAAATTTAATAATCGAAAAACTGAAAAATCAACGAATCGAGAAGTCGAGAATTTAAAAAATTGGACAATTGAAAAATCGGATAAATCAAAAATCGCAACATCGAAAAATCGAGAAACCGAAAAGCAAAAAATCGAAAAACCAACAAATCGAAAAATCGAAACATTGTAAAATTAAAAAATTGAGACATCGAGAAATCGAAAAATCAAAAGACAAAAAAATCGAGGAGTCGAAAAATTGAGAAACCGAAGTAGGCCAAAATCGAAAAATCGAAAACTTAAATATGGAAAAATTAATAAAGCGAGAGATTGAATAATCAAAACATCGAAACATCCGAATCTCAATGAATTGAGATCTCAAAAAATTTAAACATTCGTAAATTTAAAAAATTAAAATATAGAACTGGAAACTCGAGAAACTGAAAAATCTAGAAATTTAAAAATTAAAATATGAAAAAGTTGAAAAATCGAGAAATTGAAATAAAAAACAAAAAACTGAAAATCCAAAAATAAAAAATAGAAAAATCTAGAAGTCGAAAAATGAAAGAATCGAAGTATTGAAAAATATCAAAACTGAAAGAAATATCCAAAAATTGAGAAATCGACAAACCAATAAAGCGAAGTCGAAAAATCGAAGAATTGAAGAACTGAAAAATCGAAACTTTGAGAAGTGGGAAAATCAAAAATAGATTAATTGAGAAATCAGAACACTGAAAATTTAACGCAAAAATTTGAAAAATTCAAAAATTTAAATACTGAAGAACTGAAAAATCAAAAAATCGAGAAATCGAAAAAACTAAAATTTAAAACAATGAATAATTAAAACATCGCAAAATTGAAGAATCGAGAGATCCAATTCAGTTTGAAAAATTGAAAAATCGGGGCATTGAAAAATTGGAAAATCCAGAAATTGAAAAGCTCAAAAGAAAAAAATCGAAAAACCGAGAAATCCAAAAATCGAAACATCGAAAAATACAAAAACTGAGACTTCGAGAAATCGAAAAATCGGAGGATCGAGAAATTGAGGAGTCGGAAGCCGAAAAGGAAAGTTAAAAATTGAAAAATTGAGAAATTGAACAATCAAAACAACGAAACATCTGAATTCGATAAATTGAGAAATTAAAAAATTGAATAATCGAAAAATTTTAAAAAAGGAAAACTGGAAAATCAAAAATTAAAATTCAAAAAATCGAAAAATTGAAATATAGAAGAACTGAAAACTCGAAATATCGAAAAACCTAGAATTTTAAAAAATGAAATATTAAAACATCGAAAAGTTTAAAAATTGAGAAATCGAAGCATTAAACAGTCCCAGAATTGAAAAATCTAAAGTTTACAATAAATTGAAAATCCAAAAAGGAAAAAAGCGAGAAATCAAAAAAAATCCATCAATTCAAAAATCGAAAAGTCGAAATTAAAAAATTGGAAAATTGAGAAATCGAAAATCTAAAAAAGCAAAATTGAAAAATCGTAATCTTAAAAAATCGAAAAATTGAGGAATTGAAGATGTGAAAAATCGAAACTTTAGGAAATCCAGAAATGGACAAATAAAAAAAACACTTTAGAAATCGGCAAACTGAAAATTTAGAAACGTAAAAATTTGAAAAATTGAAAAATCGAAATATTTAAAAACCGTAAAATTGAAGAGGACAAAAATTGAGAAATGGTATCATTGAAACATCGTAAGATTGAGAAATCGAAAAATAAAAAAAATCGAGAAATAGAAAATTTAAGGAATGGAGGAATCGGAAAAGCCCAAAATTGAAATATTGAAAATTTGAGACATTTAAAGTTGAAAAATCGAGAAATCGACAAGCCGAAAAATCCCAATAGCGTATTTAGGTATAAATCACAAGATCAGGACTATTCTACTTTTTAAAATTTAAATACATAACATTATAAATTGGAAAATGTTTTTTTTTTTTTCCAAAAATCTTGACGTCTAAGGTGAAAACTCGACACGGATGCATAAACTGTAAACGGGGCGAAACTACAATTTTACTGTTGTAAAATTTGGAGATTGCGTCATTTCATTGTTCGTGACAAATTTTGGAGAGTGTAATTTGATAATACAATTTGAAATCTAAATTTTGTCATTCGGGAACATTATGTATTAAACCGTTAAGATGTTCAAGAACTTTGTTCACTCATTCGTCGTAAAGTCCAATGGTCGAAACGGGTTAGTTCTTCGTAGTGGATGTGTATCACATCAACTCTAACAACACTTATTAAGTAACTCTTCTTGGTTTACACTGATATAACTTCCATAGTCGGATATTTACAAGTTCGAATAATCAAATTGAAAATGTGTCAAAGTTACTGATAAAATTAAGATATTCCTTACGACTCGCACTTTTAATATTCCTTTTTAAAGCTTTTATCTCGTCGATATGGATCATCAATTTAGATTTCCTGTATAGTTCCAGTAAAAAAATGTTATTTTATTACAATGATTCACTAATTCCGACGGCGTACTCAGTTTACATAAAAAATAAAAAATCTCCCCATCCTGTCTCTCAAATCACATCAAACTCATACTTTAAGCAAACACAACAATACAACTTCGCATTCATTCCCTCGCGTTCTCGACACACAACCCCCTCCAGCCACCGTAAAGCTCTAAAGCTCTATAATAAAGCTCAATCCGTCTCGGCCGCCGCCGCCGCCTCCGGCCATCAACCCGTCATAAAAATCATAATCCTCTTCCAGGTGCGCTACACCGGCTACCGAGACCGGCCCCAAGAAGAGCGCCAGGTGCGCTTCCAGAACGCCTGCAGGGAAGGACACACCGAGATCGCCTTCGCCGCCACCGGCACCAACCTCCAGCTCGTCTTCACGCCGCCCACCACCGGATACATGCCCGACAAAGAGTGCGACTTCGAGAAGGAGCCCGGCAAGGTAGGCGAATTTTTCCCAGTGCGGCTCTGAGTCGGTCCCCTTCGCGCAAAATGGCGTCGGGCGACGGCGCCCAATCGCGGCGCGGCGTCTTTATTGATCGCGGCGGCGCCATGCCAAGCGTCGGATACAGTCGGCTCAAAAGTTTCGGGGACGGGGGACGGGGTGAAATAGGGGGATGGGGGCGTAAATTGTTTTAACGGGGGTGATTAGGGGGTGAATTAGAGTATTCAAGTGATTAAAGTGTTAGAGAGGAGTAAAAAAAGATCAAAGAAGGCGGTAGATTTTGAAGGTTTGTCTTTGATAGAATTTTCATTTTGTCAGGTTATTATTAATAATTTTGAAATTCTGAAACATCGAAAAATAAAAAATTTTAAAAATCGAAATCCGAAAAAATTGAAAGATCCAAAAAACTAGAAAACTACAGAAAAATTCCGAAAATTGAAATGTGGAAAAATTCCGAAATTGAAAACTTAATAAATAGAGAAATTTAAAAATCGAAAAGCTAAAAATTTTTTAAATCTGATTGGTAACCGAGATGTTATGAAATTGAAACATCGGAAAAATTGAAGAATAAAAAAAAATAAAAAATCGGGAAATCGAGAAATGGAGAAGTCACAGAATCGATAAACTGATTGAAATAGGCCAAAATTCAAAAATTTAAAAGTTAAAAATTTAAATCGAAAATTTAACATATCGAGAATTTGAACAGTCATAGAAAGGAAACATTGAAATCTCGAAAAATTCAAAAATCGAAAATCGAATTTTAAAGATCGAAAAATTTAAAATCAAGAAGTCGAAATATTGAAAGATCAATTTCTCGATTAATCGAGTTTCTAATTTTCCCATTTCCCGATTTTCAATTTTTCAGTTCTTCGATTGAGAAATGGAAGCATGAAAAAGCTGTAAATTCTAAAATTTAAAATTTCGAATGCCGGAGAACTGAAAAATCGAGATATCGAGACATCAAAAAATCAAGATATCGAGACATCAAAAAAACGAGAAATTGAAAAATTTTAAAATCTAAAAAACTGAAAAATCGCAAAAGTAAAGAATCCAGAAATATAACAATTGAAGAATGAAAACATTGAGAAATCCTAAAAGTGAAAAATCGAAAAATCTGAAATAAAAAAAATGAAAAATTTGAAATATCTAAACGTTGAAGAATCGAGAAATTCAAAAATCTAAAATTCAAAAGACCAAAAATCGAAGAACTCAAAAATCGACGAATTGGAAAATTTCAAAACTTAAATAACAAAAAATTGAGAAATTGAAAATTCGAAATATTGTAAAATCGAAAAGCCGAAAAATCGAAAGATCGAAATAGGCCAAAAAGTTAAAAATTGAAAAATTGTCTAAAACTAATCTAAAACAGAGAAATACAAAAATTGAAAAATCCCAAAACTGATACATCAAAAAATCGAAAATTAAGAAGAATTTAGTTTTCGGTTATTGGAAATGTCAACAAAGCAAAACGTCAAAAAAATTAAAAAATCGCAAATTTGAAAATTCAAAAAACGGAAAATTAAAAAATTTAAAAATTCAAAAAAATTAAACATAGAATGAAGAAGAATTGAAAAGTTAAAAAAAAAATTGGAATGTCTAAAAATTGAAGAATCGAGAAATTGAAACATTAAATAGTCAAAAAATTCAAAAATCTAAAATTTAAAAAATCGCAAAAATTGAAAAATCGGAAAACTGAAGAATCGAAGAACTGAAAAATTGAGAAATTGGCAAACTTCAAATCTGAAATGTCGAAAATTTGAGAAATTGAAAAATTGAAAAATCTAAAACTGAGAAGTCGAAAGATTGAGAAATTATGAAACACAAAAAACAGAAAAATCTAAAATTTAAAAATTCGAAAAATTGAAAAATTTAAGAACTGAACAATCTATAAATCAAAAAAAAAGAAACATCAATAAACCGAGGAAGTAAAAAATCGAAAAGACAAAAAATCGAAAAATCCAGAATCGAAATTTTGCAAAATTCCTAAACAAATATCGAAAAATTGATAAACGGAGGAAAGATTGAGAATCGAAAAATTAAAAAATTCCACAACTGAGATATCGAAAAATTGAGAAATCGAAAAATCGAGAATTCAAAAAGTTGAAAAATCGAATAATTGAAAAATCAAAAACCTGAAAAATTAGAATTAAAAAATTCCAAACCTGAAACATGGAAAAATTGGGAAACCAGAATGTCGCATAGTGGAATAATTGAAAAATCAAAAATGTGAAAAATAAGAATCGAAAAATTGAAAAATTTCGAATCTGAAATATCAAAAACTTGAGACATTACAAATGTCAAGAAAGCGAAATATCAAAAAAGTAAAAAATGGAAAAATGTGAAATTTAAAAAATCGAAAATTTGAAAATTCAAAAAATTGAAAAATAGAATTACGAAGAACTGAAAAATCGAAAAATCTAAAATAAAAAAATAATAAAAATTTGAAATATCTAAAAATGGAAAAATCCAGAAATCGAAACATTAAATAATCGAAAAATTCAAAAATATAAAATTTAAAAGTCGAAAAATCGAAAACTGAGAAATCGAAAATCTAAAATTTAAAAAATCGGTAAATTAAAGAATCGAAGAATTGAAAAATCGAGAATTTGAAATGAAAAATTGAAAAATCTAAAACCGAGAAGTCGAAAAATTGAGAAATTATGAAATATCAAAAAAACTGAAAAATCTGAAATTTAAAAATTCGAAAAATTGAAGAATCTAAGAACTGAAAAATCGATAAATCAAGAAAGCGAAATATCAATAAACCAAGAAAGTAAAAAATCGAAAAGACGAAAAAATCGAAAAATTGAGAATCGAAATATTGCAAAGTTTCACAACGAATATCGAAAAATTGACAAATCGAAGAATTAAAAAATCCCACAACTGAGACATCGAAAAATTAAGAAATCGGAAAATCGAATAATTGAAAAATCAAAAACCTGAAAAATTAGAATTAAAAAATTCCAAACTTGAAAATCGAAAAATTGAGAAATCAAAAAGTCGAAAAATCAAATAATTGAAAAATCAAAAACCTGAAAAATCATCGAAAAACCGAAAAATTCCAAACCTGAAACATCAAAAAATTGAGAAATCAAAATACCGAGAAATCAATTAGTCGAAAAATCGAATAATTGAAAAATTGAAAACCTGAAAAATGAGAATCGAAAAATTGAAAAATCGGAAAATTGAAGAGTTGAAAAATTGAAAAATTAAAAGTGGTAAAATTGAAAAATTAAGGGATTGAAAGACTGAAAATCGAAACTTCGAAAAGTCGGGATATTTAAAATTTAGAAACGTCAAAAATAGTAAAATCGTAAAATTGACAAATTGAAGACTTGAAAAATTGGGGAATCGAAAAATGGAAAATAGAGAAGTCGAAAAGTCAAAAATATGTATTAAAAATCGAAAAATTAAAAAACTGAAAAATCCAAAACCGAGAAGTCGTAAAACAGAAATATTAAGGAATTGAAAATTTGAAATATTTATAGTTTAAAAGTTGAAAAAGGAAAAAAAATCGAGTAACTGAAAACTCGAAAAAATGAAAAATGAATGAACTGAAACATTGAAAAATATACAAATTTTAAAAATGGAAGAAAATTCGAAGAATTGAAAAATCCCAAAACTGAAACTTCGAAAAAATCGAGAAATCCAAAAGTCAAAAAATTGAAAAATAGAAAAAATTGAATAACTGAAAAAGGAAAAATCGAAACATGAAACCTGAGAAATCTAGAAATAAGAAAATTGAAAAATATCAAAAATTGAAAAATCGAAAAATTGGAAAGCTATAAAACTGAAACATTGGAAAACTGAGAAATCGAAAAATTGAAAATTTGAAGAATCGAAAAATTGGAAATCGACGAATTGCAAAAGCGAGAAAATGAAATATCGAAAAGTGAAAGAATAAAAAACCTGAAAAATCAAGAAATCAAAAAGTTGAAAAATTCAAAAAACAAAAATTGAAAAGAAGGATTGAAATAGTGAAAATTGAAACATTGGAAAATCCAGAAATGGAAAATAAAGAATGATTAATCGAGAAATTGAGAAATTCAGAAAATGAAAATTTAGAATAGTAAAAAACTGAAAAATTCTTCAATTTTTCGTACTTTTTTAGGGGTTATGAAGCGTCGAGAAAACATGAAAGTAGCCAGTCGCCCGATGGATTCTGGAAGTAAAAAATGTATGTTTAATCGGGTGTTTATTGCTCTCTCGGTACAAAATAAGTACGAAAAAACTGTCATTAATATTATATTTCCTCATTATAAAAAATTCTTAAAAACAAAGTTCAAAGATCAAAATTTTTCGATGAAGTTTTTTAATGGTTGTAAAAGTCGATGCTCGACCACGACCCGAAATTCTCCATCACCCATGTTTCCACGAATGCCACTACCTCGTGAACACAATTCCCGCATTCTAACGTCTCGACCCATGAACCGGAAACACCCATCTTACCATCCCGACCACAAAAACCGGCCTCTCCGCTCCAACTCGAGCAAAAGACACACTAATTAGCCTCCATCCCATCCTTTACACGCTCGATCGATCCCCAAATTGCCAGTCTAATTAAACGAGCACAAAAGACGCGTGCTAAGCACCGACCAAGAAAGCGCCTCTTCCATATGCCGTCGGCGTCACGGCCCCCACACGCAACCCGTGCCCGAGACACCGCACGGAACCTTCTGCGGCCCTTTGCTATCCACCAACTTCCCCGGCTCCGCGCTTCCGGCCCCGCCGACGCGCCGGTCATCCCCGGCCCAGCCCTTGGTCCCGATCTGCGCCCAGCGCTGGTCTATTGCGTCCCGGCCTTTGTTCGCGGTCGCGTGTCGCTCATCTCCGGGAGACAAAGGGCCGCTGTTGACGCGTCGCCGCGCTAACTAGCAGTCGCATAATGGGTGTTTTGTTTCTCGGGCGCTTTAATTGGGAGGCGTCGCGTCGATGAATGCGCGTGACGCCGGCTCGTTTGTCATGGGGGTAGTTTATTAAACAAACCCTTTTTTTGG